GCGCAGCAGTTTGGCGCCTGCCTTTGGTCCAGGGCGCCATCCTGGAGACCCGGGATCAAATCCCACGTCGGGCTCCCGGTGCATGGAGCCTGCTTCTCCCTCTGCCTGTGTCTCTGCCTCTCTCTCTCTCTGTATGACTATTGTAAATAAATTAAAAAAAAAAAAATTAAAAAAAAATTAAAAGAAAAATACATAATTTTATTTACATACATATTTACCATTTATAGTTAATATGTGGTGTCATTTCCCTTCAACCTGAGCAAATTGCTTAAGCTTTTTTTATAGAATAGATTGCCTGGCAAGGAATTTTCTCACTTGTTTATCTGCAAAAATCTTTAACCTTAATTTTCAAAAGAAGTTTTCATGGGATATAGTATTTTGGGGTTGAAATAATTTTTTCTTTCAGAAATTTAAAGATATAATTCCATTGTCTTTTGTCATTTTCTTTGTGAGGGAATTAGTGAAAATTTGTATTCACTCTCTCCCTGCCTTCACTTCCCCTACTCCACCACCCCCACCCCCCATCCCCATGTGCAATGTGTTTTTCCCTGGCTGTTTGCAAGGTTTTTCTTTATTCTTTGATTTTAGTAGTTTGCGAAGGTATGATTTCCTTTATATTTATCTTGCTTGGAGTTAATTAGATCTGTAGGTTCTTGTCTTTTACTACGTTTTGGCTGTTATTTCTACAAATGTTTTCCCCCATTTCCCTCTCTTTTATTTTCCTGAAACTGCAGTCATACTATGTTAATCTGTATTCAGTTTCCTTTATTCTCTCCTGCCATTTTCATCTACTGCTAAGTCTATAAATAGTTACTTTTTCTTATCAGTTATTGTAATTGTAGTTTACATTTGGTTCTTTTTTTTCTGTTTCTCTCTGGAGATTCACCTTTTTTTATTTCTTTTTAAGATTTTATTTATTTTAGACAGATCATGAGCAGGGGAGGAGTAGAGGGGGAGAGAAAGGGAGGGAGAAAGAATCTTAAGCAGACTCCTTCCTGAGCACAGAGCCCCATACAGAGCTTGATCTCATGACCTTGAGATCATGACCTGACCTGAAACCAAAAGTTTGATGCTCAGCTGATTGAGCCATCCAGGTGCTGTGTCTTTTGTTCATCTCTAATGTGTATATCTTCCTTTAAGACCTAGAGTATATCTATGATAGCATTTTTAAATTCTTGTCTTCTAACTGTAACATCTGGGTCATCTTGGAACCTGTTTTTTTTTATTTTTTGTTTTGAGTATGAATTATATTTTATTTCTTTGCATGTCTTTTTTTTTTTTTTAATTAGATGGTGGACATGATGAAGAGATTCTGGATTTTGGATTTTGTTGTTTTTGTCTTAGAAGGCCAAGGTCAAACTTTAAACTCCCTATGTTGGACAATAGTTTGATTCTTTTTTTCTTTTTAAGACTTCATTCATTTACTGAGAGACAGAGAGTGTGTGCGCACGCGTCCACATGCACAAGAGTGGGGGGAGGGGCAGAGGGAAAGGGGTAAGCAGACTTACTGCTGAGCAGGGAGCCCAACATGAGGCCTGATGTGGGGCTTGATGGGTGCTCAATCCTGGGACTCTGAGATCATGACCAAAGTTAGATGCTTAACCACCTGCACCACCCAAGTGCCCTGGTAGCTTCATTCTTTCAACATTCAGCTGCTGCTTTTGACCTGGGAACCCTGAAGTCTTCCTATCAAATCCACATAGGTAGTTTGTGAAACCAGCCAAGATTTGGAGATGTTTTATTTTATTTTTTTTAAAGGTTTATTGATTTATTCATGAGAGACACACAGAGAGAGGCAGAGACATAGGCAGAGGGAGAAGCAGGCTCCCTGTAAGGAGCCAGATGTGGGGCTTGATCCCAGACCCTGGGCCCATTGCTGAAGGCAGATGCTCAACCGCTGAGCCACCCTGGCACCCCATTGGAGATGTTTTAAATGCAGATTTTGCAGTTCTCTGCCTTTGCACCTCCCTCTCCCCAATCTCGTTGTTCTGTGCCCTGAACTTTGTCCTCTGATTCCTCAAGTCATTTAGGTGGTGGGTTTCTGCTGCTAGAAACCCATATACGGATGATACCCTTTCAAGCAAAAAATTACAGACTGGAAAATCACACTTTTCTGTTTCTCTTTCAAGGATATACCATCTTTTATTTTCTATTTTCTTATGGTCTGTGTTCAGGTTCTTGAACACCTGGAGGCTAGGTAGGTAGTGCAACATAATTTCTTCTGCCATTATGGCATGTTAATTTTTTTTTACTAATGAAACTAATATATTGGGAAGAACATGATTTTTTTTTTAAGATTTTATTTATTTATTCATGAGAGAGACACAGAGAGAGAGAGAGAGGCAGAGACACAGGCAGATGGAGAAGCAGGATCCATGCAGGGAGCCTGACGTGGGACTCGATCCGGGGTCTCCAGGATCAGGCCCTGGACTGAGGGCGGCACTAAACCGCTGAGCCACCAGGGCCGCCCAAGAACATGATATTTGGTTAGAAATGGAATAGAATCATGTGTCAGCAGAGAATAAACTGATTAACCTTGGACAATTTACTAAAGTTTTGAGTTATCGTTTCTTAAAAAATGGAAATAAAGTTCCTCTTTATAGAGTTAATATCAAGATTAACATTGTCCTATAAAATGCCCAGGCTATATCTTTGGAAGGGGAGGAGAGTAGGGGGTGGGGGTGACTGGGTGGCAGGCACTGAGGGGGGCACTTGACAGGATGAGCACTGGGTGTTATTCTGTATGTTGGCAAATTGAACACCAATAAAAAATAAATTTATTCTTAAAAAAAATACCCAGGCTAGTTAAAAAAATTTTTTTTGCATTATTATACACACATAACCTTGGCTGTATAAGCTATAGAGACTTAATGTGTTTTGATAATGTTTTGGTTTTTTTTTTTTTTAAGATTTTATTTATTCATGAGAGACACAGAAAGAAGCAGGATCCTCAAGGGGAACCTGGTATGGGACTTGATCCCCAGACTCCAGGACTGTGCCCTGAGCTGAAGGCTGATGTGCCCAACCACTGAGCCACCCAGGCGTCCCTTGATAATGTTTTTTAATAAAATTGTGCTTTGTGGTAAAGGTATTTTTAATGAAATCACTTGTTTAAATAAGATTTACTTTGAACACTCCTATATTTTTTTACTTTGTGAAAAGTGTTAAGTATCAGTAACATGTTGTTTGCTTAGTAGGATGTACCAAACTTTGTTATGCTCTGATGGTGTAAGGACAAATATGGAGCTTATAATCTTTTTTTTTTTTTTTTTTTTTAAGATTTACTTGAGAGAGAACAAACAAGCATGAGTGGGAGGGACAGAGGGAGAGAGAGAGAATCTCAAATAGACTCCACACTGATCTTGCGAGGTGGGGCTTGATCTCATGACCCTAAGACCATGACCTAAGCCCAAGCCAAGAGTCAGACACTTAACAACTGTACCACCCAGGTGACCCCCGGAACTTATAATCTTTTAGAAAAAACAACATGAAGCAAATCATTTTAACTTTGCATACCATTTTACAGGAGGTTTGAGGTAAACAAGAACAATATATTTACCAGGAGCCTATATTGAATTATATTTAAAATGCCTTAGGGGCACCTGCCTGGCTCAGTCAGTAACATGGGATTCTTTTTTTTTTTTTTAAAGAATTTATTTATTTTTTTATTTTTTTGTTTTATTTACTTATGATAGGCACACAGTGAGAGAGAGAGAGGCAGAGACACAGGCAGAGGGAGAAGCAGGCTCCATGCACCGGGAGCCCGACGTGGGATTCGATCCCGGGTCTCGAGGATCGCGCCCTGGGCCAAAGGCAGGCGCCAAACCGCTGCGCCACCCAGGGATCCCAGTAACATGGGATTCTTGATGTTGGGATTGTGAGTTCAAGCCCCACACTGAGTGTAGAGATACCTTAAAAATAAAATCTTTTAAAAATAAAAATAAAATGCTTAATTTTTAATCCTTTGAATAAAAAGTATTTTAACAAGCTATTTTATATTTCTTTGTTATGTATTTTATAGTCCCTTGCTTTTATTCATCATCACTGTTTTCCTTCTCTGAAATGCATATATTGCCTTTTATCTCTTCAGATTTTTACATTTACTTGATACAGATTACAGTCAGTTTTAAAAACAGTAGTATGTATATTGTTCCTGACCTTCCTATGAATGGTTCTAGAGTTTTACCTTTAAGTGCCTATTTTTATATATAAAAAATATTTCAGGGGCTCCTGGGTGGCCTAGTTGGTTAAGTGTCTGCCTTTAGTTCAGCTCATGATCCCAGGACCCTGCATTGGATTCCATGCTGAGCTAGTCTTCCCCTCCCCCTCTGCCTGCAGCTCCCCCTGCTTGTTAGCACACACTTGTGCATGCTCTCTCTGTCAAATAAATAAAGTATTTTAAAAAGTTTTCAGAAAAACATATGCCAACATTAGTTATATACAGGTGGTATGATATACATAATTTTCACTTTGTTCCTGTTATTTTCTGTACCACCAGTAAAATACAGTATGCATTTGACTCTTTTATGTGAAAAGGATGGTGAGCGTTTGTTTTTTTGTTTTTGTTTTCTTTTTGTTTTTGTTTTTGTTTTCAATGAAAACTATATGTACTATTTACTAATGAAGAAATTCATAGCTCAACTGTTGATCTATAAAGAGGTTTCTTCTCAAGTCTAATCCTGGTTCTCTTTGTTAGGGCCAAAGTAATATTTGCTTGGCCTTTGTGAATTAGAGATATCAACATAATTGATTATTTTCTTCCATCTTTTCATTTCCTTCAACTCTTCACTAAATAAATACTCTTAATTTGAGATATTATTATCTGTTATTAGAGAAAGGAGTTTCAACAAGCTAGGGGCTATATGTTCCTAAATTATTAGTAGTAGAACCATTGCAGATATTTCCGATTGACTTTAATTGCAGTTCTCTGTAGAACAATCACTTAAGAACCCAATGTAGTGTTTTAACTGATGAATCTTTTTTTTTCCTTTTCTTTTCAGTTGGAAAGACATCCTTGATCACCAGATTCATGTATGACAGTTTTGACAACACCTATCAGGTATTTTATTTTCCTGACTTGCTGGTTGTCTCTATTTTGTGTTAGAAGTACTATATTTAAGGTCTTCTTAAAAATCCACTTATTTGCATAAAAGCACTTTCTGTAAATGTAAAATGCTATAGAAGTACAGAGTATAACTGATTTTACTCATAGTCCTCAGTCTTTTCACTTGATTTCTTTATCTCCTCTTCCAAGTTCATTGAAAGATTATCACTAAGTACCATACCATCTGGGATAGAAGGAGTGACTGTAGATATTCTCTTATGTGATTCAGCCTAGGATTCTGTGACCTTTGATCTATACCTAAAGTCAAAAATAAATTAATGATGTAATTAGGAATCATTAACAGAAGGAGATTGGGGAAATTCGCAAATATGTGGAAATTAAACAGCACATTCCCAAATAGCCAAGGGAAAGAATTCACAAAGGAAATTTAAGAAATACTTTGAGACAAATGGGGTGAAAAAAAAAACACCCACAACATACCAAAACTTATAGCATACAGCTAAAGCAGTACTATAAGGGAGAGAAGAAATATAATAAATCAATAACCTTCTTCCTTAAGAAACTAGAAAAGTAAACTAAACCTAAAACAAGCAAAAGACGTGACAAAGAACTGTTATCCAAAACAGAACTCTTAAAATTACATAGTAGTAAAGAATTAATTCTTTACGTTTTATAAGTTTTGATAGATGTGTACACCTATGAAGCTACCACCACAATCAAGATTAAGAACATTTTTCTCATCCCAAAAGGCATTTGTCTTAATTAAGCCTTTTATTAAAAACCATAAAGATGGGACACCTGGGTGGCTCAGTGGTTGAGCATCTGCCTTTGGCTCAGGGCATGATCCTGGAGTCTCGGGATCAAGTCCCACATCAGGCTCCTTTGCGTGGACCCTGCTTCTTCATCTGCCTGTGTCTCTGCCTCTCTGTCTCTCATGAATAAATAAATAAATAAAATATTAAATAAACAAATAAATAAATACCATAAGGATCATAGAACAGAGATGACTGAAACCTAAATCTGACATTTTAGAAAAGTCAGTTTTTAAAAAGCTAATCGGTTTATACTGTATATATTTCATTATCATTCTTTTGAATATTTCAGAAATGGTTTAGCCAACTCATAAGACATGAAAAGAACAAGTTTAGAAATGAAACTTAGCTCAGAGTGCTTTGGTTTTTTCTGGACTCTTTTAGATCAAATATTCCAGATTTTCTAGGTCTCTGCAATTTTACGGCCTATAGGCTTCACCTACAGGACATTCTCTCTTGTACAGTGTCTTGATTCTGAGCAATGCTCTGTATCTTCTCATCAGAATAGCTATAAATACCACTTCCAGAGATTAACAAATGTATTGACGTTATTGAGCCGCATCTGGAATGTTCCTAAAAAGCGTAAGCTCAAATCTTTGGGAGTAGAACCATTACCATAAGCTAAAAAATCTGAACTAGGACTCAGTCTCAGGCTAAAAGACTTATTACCTAGAGCCTTTTTAGAGTTCTCTGGGTGCCTTTTTCTTTTCTTTTCTTTTTTTTTTTTTAAAGATTTTATTTATTTATTCATGATAGACAAGGGGTAGGCGGCAGAGACATAGGCAGAGGGAAAAGTAGGCTCCTTGCCGGGAGCCTGACTTGGGACTCGATCCCCGGGATTCCAGGATCACGCCCCGGGCCAAAGGCAGGTGCTAAACCGCTGAGCCACCCAGGGATCCCCTCTTTTCTTTTCTTTCTTTTCTTTTCTTTTCTTTTCTTTTCTTTTCTTTTCTTTTCTTTTCTTTTCTTTTCTTTTCTTTTCTTTCTTTTCTTTTCTTTTCTTTTCTTTTCTTTTCTTTTCTTTCTTTTCTTTTCTTTTCTTTTCTTTTCTTTTCTTTTTAGATTGTATTTATTCATGAGACACAGGGAGAGAGAGAGGCAGGCAGAAACATAGGCGGAGGGAGAAGCAGGCCCCATGCAGAGAGCCCAATGTGGGACTCAGTCCCGGGACTCCGGGATCTCACCCTGAGCCAAAGGCAGACACCCAACCGCTGAGCCACTCAGAAGTCCCTTTTCTGGCTGTTTCTCAAGAATTTTGTTATACCCATGTTCTCAGTGAAATTAAGGAGAATTTTCAGGCATACCAAAATGCCATTTCTGTTTCCTCATGCTGCTGTTGAGTCAGTCATATATAAGGGTAGTGATGTTGACATAAGGGTAGTGATATTGGTAGAATTTGACAGATAAGGAAAGATTTTGATTCTTTGTGGAAAAGTTGCTAATGAAGTTAAAGTATCATTGCACTTTGGCATTAATAGGAGACACTAATTAACAATGTGAGTTATAAGTTTTTATAACAGATACAATCCTAGATGTTCTTTTAGTTTAGCTCTTATAAGAAAATTTAGGCAATATAGTGCCTTACATTCTTATTTGGGGAAATCTGCTTGACAGTAAATTAAGTATTTGAATATGATGAACTGACCTTATGTGGTTAGCTGCTAACTTAATTATCAGATGGAGTTCTTCAGTGAACCATTTGAAGATTCCCTACTTTACCCCCAACACACACACACACACACGACAGAAAGACTTCTGAAATGGATAAAGAGAGAGTCTCATTGCTAGAAATTTATTATTGGGATTCTATGAGCCATATGTAATATATATATCAACCTTAGTTTAAGAGAAGTTTTACCTCACAAAAATGATAAATTTTATGTTAATAATTCATGTTCTATGTATGATTCCTTTGCAATGAATTAATTTCATTTAAGAAGGAGGAAATCGGTGGGCCAGAAGAGTCTTTAACTGACCAAAATTTAGGCATTATTTCAAAACGAAATTAAAAAAAAAAAAAACTGTTCTAACTAGAGAGCCTGGAATTGGATCTCTTAAAGTTGCTCTTCTTTTTCACTACTTTTTTTTTTCCAGTTGTAAGCCCACAGATTTTCTAACAGTTTAGACTATATCAGCTTGAACCATATTACATTGCTATTTTAATAATTTAAAAAATGATAAAATGTCAATTTTACATGGTTCAGCTTAATATAAATAAGCTCAAGATTCCCACAGTTGGAGTAGATTCATTCATTTTCCTGTTTTTTGTTTCAGATTAATCATTCTTTTATTCCCCCCCTTTTAGATTGTATTTATTCATGAGGGAGGCAGAGACATACACAGAGGGAGAAGTGGGCTCCACACAGGGAGCCCTATGTGGGACTTGACCAAGACCCAGGGATCACGTCCTGAGTCAAAGGCAAATGCTCAACCGCTGAGCCACCCAGGCATCTCAAGATTCATTCTTTTATTTGAGAAAGATTATATTGCTCAGACTAACCTTTGAGATTACTTTGAATGTAGAAGATTTCTATCAAAGGCTGTTAAAAATTGACAGTAAACATAAATTCACCTTCATGGTAGATAATGAAGCCATCTATGTGTCTGTTGTGGAAATCTCAATATTGAACCCCCAACCTATACTCACCTAAATAGGTTGATAGGTCAGATTATGTCCTCCATCACCGCTTCCCTCAGATTTGATGGAGTCCTGAATGTTGATCTGACAGAATTCCAAACCAAGATGGTGCCCTATCCCTGCATCTAATTCTCTTTGGCCACGTATGCTTCTGTCATCTCTCTCAATGAACAGTTTTCTGTAGCAGAGATCACTACTGTATGCTTTGAACCAGCCAATCAGATGGTGAAATGTGATCCTTACCATGGTAAATGTATGGTATGCTGCCACTGCCACCAAGATCATCCTGTTTATGGATTGGTACTACACTGCCTTCAAAGTTGGCATTAATTACAAACCTCCCACTGTGGTACCTTGTGGAGGCCTAGCCAGAGTACAGCGAGCTGTGTGCATGCTAAGCAACATCACGGACATTTCTGAGACTTGGGCTTCCCTGGACCACAAGTTTGACCTGATGTATGTCAGGCATGCCTCTATTCACTGGTATGTGGCTGAGAGCATGGAGGAAGAGTTTTCTGAAGCCTGTGAGGACATGGCTGCCCCTCAGAAGGATTATAAGGAGGTTGGTGTGGGGACACCTGCATGACTCAGCAGTTGAGTGTCTGCCTTTGGCTTAGGGCAAGATCCCGGGATCCAGTCCCACATCAGGCTCCCTGCATGGAGCCTGCTTCCGCCTCTGCCTGTGTCTCTGCCTCACTCTGTCTCTGATGAATAAATAAGTAAAAAATCTTTTTTTAAAAAAATAAGGTTGGTGTGGATTTAGTTGAAGGAGACCTTGAAGAAGAAGGAAAGGAGTATAAGGTTAAAAATGTCACAAAGTTGCTGCTTTTACAGAGAAGCTTTTTCTGTTTTAACATTGAAAAGCTGAGTTCTGATCAGTTAATTTATATGTAGCAGTGTATACTCATACTCTTCATATATAGTTGGTGATGTGTGCTTTAAAACACATTTTGTTACAGACCATTTCTCTGATGGATTTGAATAAAGTATTTCCATCTTAAATGGAAAAACCACCCCAAACAAACATAAATTCAGTGTGGCATAGTTTAAGACATTAAAACATTTAAAACAATTAAATAAAATTAATTTGCCCAGGAAGATGGTGGTGGTTGAATACATCCTTAAGCTCTTTAAGTTAAAACTTTAAATTGTAACAAACAAAATTCTAGTTTGTTACCAATAGAAATAAAATACCCCCTGGATGGACTGTTTTTCTCATCTAATATTTGATTTCTTGTTTTTTAATTTTAATTTTTAAGGACTCTTTTTTTCTCCTATCAGAAGTATTGTTTCTTTATGGGGAGTGGGAAGAGAATAGTTCTTTTTTTTCAAACTGTGCCAAGAACACTTAATATGAAATCTACCTTCTAATTAGATTTTTAAATCTACAATATAGTATTATAATATGCACAGTGATCTCTAGAACTTGATCATCTTGCATAACACTTGATCTTAGCCAAAAGGCCGAGAAGCAGTGTTCACCTTGCATAAGTAAAATTTTATGTTTATTGTAATGTCTCATTTCTTTTTTTTTTTTAAGATTTTATTTATTTATTCATGAGACACACACAGAGAGAGAGAGAGAGAGAGAGAGAGAGAGAGAGAGAGAGAGAGGCAGAGACACAGGCAGGGGAAGAACCAGGCTCCATGCAGGTAGCCTGATACGGGACTCGATCCTGGGACTCCAGGATGATGCCCTCAGCCGAAGGCAGGCAATAAACCACTGAGCCACCCAGGTATCCCTGTAATGACTCATTTCTAAAATTGACAGACTCCTCAAAGTTCCCTCCTAAGTACTGTGGCACAAAGATATCTAAGGGAAATGTACATCTACAACTTTCATATATATAAATATATACAAACATACTTATTATTGGATGATTACCTTTCTAAAATGGATCTTGTATCAGCATCCTCCTTCTCCATCCTTTGCCTTTCTTCATTCTCTTTATCTGTTAGTCAATGTTAGACTCTAATTTATCCACTGTTTTCTTCCTTTTACTCAATCTTTGCCTTTCTCAAGTCTTACTCTTTCTTTATTTCCTGCTGGGGAAAGCAGCAGCCAGGCAACAGAACTTTATATGTTTGGACCACAGAAGGAAGCTGATTATCATTGCTTGATACAGAGAAAAACTTGTTTTCCTTACTTAATTACTCTTATGTAGGAGTAGATATCATGTCCCTTAATGGTAAATCATGATGTTGATGGGTCTTTTGGCTGTGTGCAGCATCAGGACAGGTGACAAACCAGTATGTGGGAAGTCAGAATAGTTAGTTTACATCTGCAATGTTTTATAAAATTGCTGTTGGGGCAAATAAACACTCTTATGAACAGAGAGCATTCAAATACAAATATATCTAAACTATAGTTTATCATTATTATCTTGATGCTGATACATTTGGGTAAGCCAGTGTTCAATCTTGAATTGTTACCAGTTTAATTTTTTCTTTTTCTTTTTTTTACAAAGTAGACTTTCCCAACACAATGAATTAATAACACTTAAAATAATGTGAAGCTATAAATTAAGATATGTGGGAGAATTTTCTCTAACCTTTGTTTTCTTCTATAATTATTGCCTTCTGAATTTCTATAAAGATCAGCAAGAGGCAACACTAATGTCTCATCCATCTTTTATGAAGGTTTGAATTAGTTTCACATCAGTAACATTCAAGATGCTGGAATAGCTGATAATGTTTGGTTTTCCAGCCATTCTGTCTGTTTTTCCTGGTGTTGGTTTAATTCTTGTGGCTGATTGACTTTTTTCCTATTAGGCTCTGCTTGGCATAAATTATTTTTATTTTTTTTAAGATTTTATTTATTTATTTATTTATTTATTTATTTATTTATTTATTTATTTTAAATTTTTGTTTATTTATGATAGTCACAGAGAGAGAGAGAGAGAGAGACAGAGACATAGACAGAGGGAGAAGCAGGCTCCATGCACCGGGAGCCCAACGTGGGATTCGATCCCGGGTCTTCAGGATCGCGCCCTGGGCCAAAGGCAGGCGCCAAACCGCTGCGCCACCCAGGGATCCCCGATTTTATTTATTTATTCAGAGAGACAGAGAGAGAGAGAGAGAGGCAGAGACACAGGCAGAGGGAGCAGCAGGCTCCATGCAGGGAGCCTGACGTGGGACTTGATCCTGGTTCTCCAGGATCATATCCCGGGCTGCAGGCGGTGCTAAACCGCTGTGCCACCGGGGCTGCCCGGCTTGGCATAAATTAACTGAAAAGAGCAGAAACAGGCTGTTTTTCAGGTTAATTTTTGTCTTTATGAGTTTGGTGTATAAATGATGTACTAATTTTTATTTTCATTTTATTTTATTTTATTTATTTATTTTTTTAAAGATTTATTTATTTATGATAGACATAGAGAGAGAGGCAGAGACACAGGAGGAGGGAGAAGCAGGCTCCATGCTGGGAGCCCGACGCAGGACTCGATCCTGAGACTCCAGGATCGCGCCCTGGGCCAAAGGCAGGCGCCAAACCGCTGAGCCACCCAGGGATCCCGATGTACTAATTTTTAAAACGTGTTGGCTGTGAGATCTGATACGGCATATTTCTGTCAGTAGCCATTAAAAATTATTTTGGGCTGTTGATAACAAATACAAAAATAACATTAGTAAGTGACATGAGAAATTTTTTTTTCCTATAAAAGAAATCTAGAAGTAGAGTACGTCAGGGCTTGTGTAGCAGCACCATAGTACATCTGGGACTAAGACACTTTTGTTTAACCAGACCTAATATATGACTTCCATATGGAGATTGCCTCATGGTTACTGAATGATTCCTGGAGTTCTGGCCATTGTATCTATATCCAGGCAGGAAGAAAACCAGGAAAAAAACCAGCCTACCTCTCAACTGAATAAATCCCATTTATTTAAAGCTCAAAGAAGGCTAGAGAATGTAGTATTTTTAGTGGTAAAAGTATGGATTTAAATAAATGATCATTTTAATAAGGAACAGGAAGATGGATATTTGTATAGACAATTAGCTGCTTCTGCCACATTGTCTGATTAAATGAGCTTCTATGGGTGAGATTTCTTAAATGTATACCATTCCTGTATGTTCCTCAGGTTTGTCAGTTAGATGGTTTTGCCCAATAATTTATAGTTTATAAACCCATTATCCCAGCCTTGAGGAGAACAGGATATACATTTCCAGACTGAATGTCAAGAGATACAATTAGTACTTAGGTTATATATATTTAAGACCTGAATTTAGAAATGTAATTGAAATACACAGTCACATAGTTTAAGATAAAGGAGAAAGCTAGCTAGGCTTGCTTGTTTGCTTTCTTAATAAAAGTCTGCCCAGTTTTGTTAACTATAAAATGATAAAAGTGAGGATGACAGTAGCTACCTTGCAGAGATATATAAGGATTAGAAATGATCATGTATAGGGCCTAAAAGAATTCTTTAATATATGGCATGTATCACTTCTCGGCCTTTTGGCTAAGATCAAGTATAATACACAGCATGTGCTCAGTATATAGAAACCAATATCACTAAAAATTTTGTTCATTCATACTTGGCTATGACATGTTTATGTGTTTATTCATTATTTCTCCTACAATCATAATTACCATTTGAACCTTAACTGCTTAAACTGCTGACTGCCATTAAACTATTACTATTTTTTAACTTCTTTGTTTTATTCTGTTTTATAGGCAACAATTGGTATTGACTTTTTATCAAAAACAATGTACTTGGAGGATCGAACAGTGAGTAATGTTTTTAGTGTGCAATTTTCTGCAACACTCCAGGATGGAAAACTATGATCAAAGCTATAATCGATGATTGTCACCATAAGGAGCTTTTAGCAAGTTGACAAAGTTAGTTTATAGGCTTTGGGGAAAACTGTTATTAAAGTGGTAGTATGTAGCATTCTGACTTAATCCCTAAATAAAATCCAAAGAGGACAGAAAGCCAAGTTATTCAGAAAATACTGAATGCTCTAGGCTTGCTGACAAAATTTGTCATACTGATTTGGAAAAACGATAAACAAATAGCATTGAAATTACGAAAAGAGTATTTTCATGAAGAAATTAGAGCTGCTAAAGACTTCTTGAGTGCTACTCTTGAGGCATTCAGAAATATTTTATTTGAATGCCGCGTGATTTGTGAATTTCAAAATATTTATCAGAATATGATGTATATATCAAAGTGACTGAAGAGAAGTAATGTGTATTTATTTATTGGATTTAGACACTTATCTTTTGGAATGCTCCCCTTTTAAGCATAGTATAAATTATTTATTCTAGCCTACTGTCCCTGAAAGAGATTATCAACTAAACAGTAACTGTCTTAAGTGCAGTATTTCAAGACCTACACCCAAAAAACATTATTGTATCTCTAATGCTATTTCCTAGAAGTGTGTGAGTTTTTCTTCTAGTTGTTCTATTTTATGTTTTAACATATAGCATGTCATTTCTTAAATTTTGAAAGCTTAGAAATTGCTTTATAATGGTAAAATAACTTAATGTTTGTTTTTAGGCTTTTCCTCAAATGTAGATGTGAAAAGTAATAAAGAAATTGTTATATAGAGTTGGAAAAAGATATTTCTCCTTTTTGTTAGGTTATATATAATGTTCTGGGAAGAAACGTGTAGGAGAAATAAGCTCAGTAGCCAGAGACCCAATTTCAAAATGTTCTGGACCCAATAGTAAAGACACATTTTAGCTTCAGAGAGGCTTTCAGAGAAACATTCATTCCTTTACTCTGATAACCAGGGCTGCTCATTGGCATTTACCTTCATTTTTACCTTTTATGTTTACTATTTGAACATTAACAGAGTCTACTTTTTGCTATCTGGAAGGCATAAGATTCAGAGAGACGTTATAGGGAGTGACAAAAGGAGCTGTATTTCTGATTCTATGAAATCTTTCACCTTGCCATTTTTAAGTCATGTGCCATCAAGAGCCAGCAAATTTTTAATATTGCTCCCTTTTGAAAAAGGAAAGGAGTTTTCTGTTATTTTCATTCCTCACATACCTTCAACCTTTTGCATGAGTCTACTTTTTACCTTCTTTCCACCTTCCCCCTTTTAAAAACATTATTTCTTTTTTCCTTTTAGTATGAGTTTGGTTTTTTTTTTTTTTATTTATTTTTTCCCATCCCACAGATCAGGCTGCAGCTGTGGGATACTGCGGGTCAGGAACGTTTCCGTAGCCTCATTCCCAGTTACATCCGTGATTCTGCTGCAGCCGTAGTAGTTTACGATATCACAAGTAGGTATTTTGCAACGGGTTGACCTTTCTTATTTTTCTTGCTTGTTTGACTGATTTTGTTGTTAGGTACGATTGCAATTATGGGACACAGCAGGTCAAGAGCGGTTCAGGAGCTTGATTCCTAGCTACATTCGTGACTCCACTGTGGCAGTTGTTGTTTATGATATCACAAGTGAGTGGGGGGAATTACGCATTTCTAATCTTCTTTCAACCTTTAGCTTAGCTGCATGCATGTTCTTGTCTTGTGCTTGTTTTCTATACTAGCATGTAAAAATGAGTTTTGTCATAGCAAACCTTATCATATAGCAGCTAGGTCATACATAATTGCTTTGGTGTTTGTACCAACATGCTTCATTTCCACTGTGCCAAATTTTTTTGCCCTGGAAATTTTCCTTTAGATTTAATTATGAATCCTTTCCAAGGCTTTCTTAGTATCCTGTTATCCCTAAGTCATACCATAATTATGGTTGGAAGAATGTCTCCTTTTTCATTTAACTTGATCTCAGATTTATCTAAAATGAAATAATCTGCATTTAAGCCTCTTGCCAAAATTTTCAAGTCCTCCACGGCTTTCTGTTGAGGCTATTAAAAGCTTCTGCTAGCAAACTTTTCTCTGCTTTCCACTTCCAGCCATCCTCTCTCTATAGAGGAAGGCAGAGAAAACATGTAATGTTCAGTTTTCTATTAATTTTCATTTGAATTACATCTGGATTCTGTAACTGACTTAGTTGCTAACAAATTACACTTTCACTTCTCTTGAAGAAGAAATTTTAAATAGATTAAAACAAGTAATGATCTTCCTTTTTTTTCCCCTAAAGACTGAATAATGTTTTTGGCATTTTAAGTGCCTATAAATTTTCCACAGTATATGGTGACTGACAGCGAAATGCTCTCTGATTAAAATTGTCTTTGTAAATTGTTTTATTCTATATATTAGGCAATATTAAGCCAAAATTCCATATAGTGGTCCATAATTTGTAGGAAAACCAGAATAATGTTACATCATAACGTACTATAAAGAAATCTTACATAAACTGTTGATTTGAGCTAGAGATATTCTTACTGTATATTTTGCATATCTGCTCAACCAGAAGTCATATCTACTTAATAATTGCAATGGCAGAATTATAAGTTTGCATTCAGAGACCCTTTTTGGGAGTGGGTGGGTTAGGTGCTATGTGCAATCTTTCTTTTCTTGAAGCTTTACTTTGGGTTGCTACTTGTTAAAAAAAAAAAGTGTATGTTCATTACTGTGCATTGACAAGTTTTGCAGCTTTAAAATGTTTGTGCTTACTTTAACCAAATCAAGTGAAACTTGGTGTATTTTTCTTTAAAAATTGTCCGTGTGGTTAAAATATTAGTGAACTGTTTTTCTGGAACTAAGAAGTAAAAAGTATCAAAGTATTCTACTTAGAATCCAGTGCTAGGAAAGTTGAATTTTGTTACAAGTGATTCTGGTGCATTAAACTAATAAACTTCAAGTTAAAGTGATCACAAACTGAATAAGCAATGCAAACAGAGTGGTGTTGAAAGCTATTTAAAGTCTTTATAAATTTTCTGGATGTGTTGGGATTTACTGGCTGACCTACTTTTGGAGATGCTTTCTTTGTCATGCTGGGTATGTGTAAGTAATCAAAAAACATTGTGGCAATGTGACACCATATTATCTGCCATAGCTGTCTTTACATTTTAAAAAGGTGTTTTTTTGTTTGTTTGTTTTTTTACCCCCCAATTACATATGGTACGTTGCAGTCATTTGGTCATGTTCCAAAATTTTATACTGTAAAAGGAACCTTGAGGACTTTATTTTTGTGATTTGTGCATATCACTGACAGTTGTACTCAGATAAAATGGAGTTATGTTGCAGGCACATTAAAAGTGAGTCCTAATGTGCCACCCCTTCCCCCAACTTCCAGGGTTTGTTTCTTTGTTTTGTTTTTTTGTTTTGTTTTGTTTTGTTTTGTTTTGTTTTTGGTCTGTCATTTGGGGAGGCTTTGCAGTAACACTAATCTCTCTGTCCACCCTCCTATACCAGATGTTAACTCATTCCAGCAAACTACAAAATGGATTGATGATGTCAGAACAGAAAGAGGAAGTGATGTTATCATCATGCTAGTAGGAAATAAAACAGATCTTGCTGACAAGAGGTATAGAGCGATTTTGTATGTGTATTGAATGTTTGATTTCTTTGTTAAGCAGCCTGTTATTTTTATTACTGAAGAATTATCTTGAAAGGAAACATGTTTAATTCTTAAGTTTATACCCCTCTTTTCTGTAGTGTGAGAACCTGAAATATAAACATTAAACTCAGTCGTTAAAGGAAAATGAGTTTTTTTGTTTTGGGTAAGCCCATATGTAAATAACTCTCGTGCAAGATTGTTTACACATGGGGGAGAAAAGATTGTTTACACGTGAAGTGAAGCTAGTAACTATTTTGCATTTTTTAGGCCTCATAAACATGAGCAGTGTTCTGTTAAAGAACAAAATGTTTTAAGAACAAATCCTGTCTTTAAAAATTATTCATAATGATTAAATGCACAGTCTTTTGGTAGTCTTCTTATAAATATTCATTATAATTCAGTGGTGTAGTTTTTCTTTCCTTTTTTTAAATTGTATGGTTGAACCAGACTGTGTAGTTGAACTGAATAGCTTGATTGTAATACCTTAGTCAAATGAGCAAAGCCATATTCAAGTCACAGGATGCAAAATTATTAACATTCACTCTAGATCCCATGGCTTGAATATCTGCCTTCAGCATCCTAAGTAATCTACTGGATATTCTTTCTGTTTTAAATGGTCTTGAGCATTTTACTTAATAGTAGAAACTTTTACTATTTGCTGTTTGTTTATTCATGAGATGAATATTGAAGTTTGGGTATTGAACTTGTACTATTAATTAAAATGTTACAAAGAAATGCAATATGTTAAGAGGCTTGTGGAAATGTTAAGCCCATTCCTTCCCATGGTACCTCATTTGGAATTGGCAACACAATGACAAAAAAAGTCCTTCATGATTTAAAAGTAAAGGATCATATTTCCTTTATGAAAATAATTGGATATCAATTAGCAATATAAATTTTCACTATTTTATTTATCTCCACTATGAGAATTTGAAGATCATGTAGGTATATATTCTTATAGTTGAAAGTCCCTAGTACTTTCATTTTTAAATAGGAAAATTGTATATCTGAATTGTTGTCTATTACAATAGCCAGAGTTATCTAAAAGGATGCATATAGCATCTGTTCTTTTATTGTGTAACATTTCATTTAAGTACACAAATCCTGGAAAGTTATCTAAATTATACTTAAAGTGATTTTTTTCTTCAAGGTAATATTTGTTCATTGGTTTGGAATTACTGTGTTTCTTAATTTTCACCAGACTATCACCCTTCAGCAGTTCACATTTTTTTTTAATTAAAGGTTTGTTCATTCCACTAATTTAATTTTTTTAAAGATTTTATTTATTTATTCATGAGAGACAGAGAGAGGCAGAGACATGGAGAAGCAGGCTCTGTGCAGGAAGCCGGATGTGGGACTCGATCCCAGAACTCCAGGATCACTCCAAAGGCAGACACTCAACCTCTGAGCCACTCAGGCATCCCCCACTAAATTAACTTTAAAATGAGTAAAAGATTTAAATTTTTTTTAAAAAAGCATTAGAAGAAAATTTTTTTGGTAGTAGGTGGGTGGCCTTTTATAAGCATGACATGAAATCCTAAAGGCATAAAGAGAAAGATTGGTTAAATCTGAATAAAGATCATATTCACATATTAGACCAACCATTATTCAGAAGATTGATAATGCACAGTATTACCAAAAATCTAAATAAATGAACTCTATTATACTGAAAATGTAACTAATATATTTTTAAAGATTTTATTTATTTATTTGAGAGAGAGAGAGAACACGCAAGCAGGGGGAGGGGCAAAGGGGAGAGAAAGAAGCAGCCTCTCCCCCTGACTGTGGAGCTCCATCCCAGAATCCCTGGAATCATGACCTGAACAGAAGGCAGACGTTTAGCAGACTGAACCACCCAGGTGACCCATATAACTAATATAATTTGGGGATTAAACAGTTCAACACTATCAGAATTTAAAATCTTAATTGACTCAAACCCATTTCCAGTAATTTATTCCACAGATACACCCATAGAAATGTGAAAAAAATGAACATACATGAATGTTTATTGCCACGTTATTTGTAATACTAAAAAAAAAAAAATCAATCTGAATGTCCCATCAATAGCAGTAGCATTTTATAAATGAAATACTTGTAGCTACTAAAAAGAATGAGAGGAATTTGTTGATGTCTAACACATGAAGCTTAAAAATTTCACTTGATTAGTATGTATAGCATGATATATCCATAAAAAGATGATAGGGATATATATATTCTTTTGCTTAGAACAAATCTACATAAGCATACATGGAATTTAACTGTTACTACACATCTTTGAGAAGGGAGTAGGATTATGGAGGACTTTATTGTTAATGATTGGTCTTTTAAAAAATTACTTTTGGACACACCTGGGTGCCTCAGTGGTTGAGTGTCTGCCTTTGGCTCACGGCGTGATCCTGGAGTCCCAAGATCGAGTTTTGCATTGGGCTCCCCTCAGGAAGCCCGCTTCTCTTTCTGCCTAGTCTCTGCCTTTCTCTGTGTGTCTCTCATGAATAAATAAAAATCTTTTTTAAAAATTACTTGTAATGAGGAGAAAAAGTTTTAAAAAAAAAATTATTCAAAGTTAAATTGTCTTTATCACACTGAGAATTGTATTTTTTTGGTAAAAACTTGGAGGAAAGACCAGAGCATATCTATTTCATTGTTTCAATATAAACACCTCAATGGGCAGTACTTTCTGTCATCTGTAGCAGTGATTCCCAAATGTTTCAAAACTGAGAATCATTTGGTAAGTATGGCTTATTTATGGTCGTCTTTTAAGATTCTAGCTATAAGGATCATATAAAGGATCATAATCAACTTTTAAATTTTTTAAAAAATTTTAGGGTTTTAGGTCCCACCTCTAGATGCTGTAATGTAATTAGTTTAGTGTGGGACCCTTGAATCTATATTTTAGTGACTCTTCTAAGTGATTCTGACAAAATCAAACCACACTTGGGACCATTGTTGTAAACTAGAAAGAATTTCTGTCAGGAATCGTTTATGTATAAGATAGTCATTGACTCATAATATTCATTCAAAAGTATTTATTATCTCTTACATTTCAGAGGATGATACTCTAGGATAGAGTAATGAACAAAAAAGACAAATCTTCAAAGAACTTTTGTTTCAGAGAATGAACCAGGCAGTAAATAAGTAAAAACAAAATAATTTTTAAAATACATAGTATATTCGATAATGATACATACTTAGAGTAAAAAATAAATCCGGAAAAAGAAATATAAAATGTCAAGTGTGAGTTTGAAATACTAGGTGGGATACCAGTGGAAGACTTCATTGAGAAGATGACTGGTGACTTTTGAGGAAACATGCTAAGGAAGCAAGGGAGTCAACTATTGCAAATATCTAGAGGAGGAAAAGGTCCTAAAAGCTCATGGCCCAGAAAATGGAAAATCCCTGAGTTGGGAATACACTTAGTTTATTTGAAGAACAGCATGGAGTCCTATATAGTTGGTAAAGAGAATGATAGAAAGTGTAGGAGGAAATGAGATTGAAAAAAAATGAAAAGATAATAAAGGCCAGGTCAAGTGGGGCAAAGTAAGGACTCTGAATGAGATTCAAGGGTTCAAGCAGAAGAATAACCTTTCATAGATCACTCTTTGCTCTGTTGAAAATACATAGGAGTAGAAGCAAGGAGGGTAATTGAGACTATAATCCAAGCAAGAAATGATGATGACTTGGACAAGGATAATGATAGCTTGTACAGTGTTCAGTGATCAAGTGCAGATTCATTTTGAAGACGGAACTGTCAAGATATTCATGCAATGGATAGAATACATAGTGATGGACAGGTTATGGGTTGTGGGAGAAGGAGGAGTCAGGAATGACACCTAGATTCTTGGCCTGAGTAACTGTCATTAGCTGAGATAGGGAGAGAGTATATAAAGAAATGGTTGGGAATGGAATATCATGACTTTAGTTTTGGTCTCTCTCTTTTTTTTTTTAGTTTTGGTCATTTTAAATTTAGAATTGCTAGGGAGTGCCGGGTGGCTCAGTTGGTAAGCATCCCATTCATGATTTCAGTTCAGATCATGCTCTCAGGTTTGTACGATGTTCAGGCTCTGAGATGGGCATGGAGCCTGCTTAAGATTCTCTACCTCCCCACTCTGTCCCTCTCCAAGAAAGAAAGGAAGAATTACTGTTAGATACCCTAATATCTAATTAGATGTCAGGTAGGCAATTGGATATATGGAGTCTGGAGTTCAGAGCAGCCGTCAAGACTAGATATATAAGTGTAGGAGTAATCAGCAGGTAGATGGTATTTAAAACTGTAAGACTGCATGAAATCACTAAGGGAGTAATTGTAAATAGAGAAGAGGTCCAAGGAGTAAATTTTAGGGCATCTGACAGACTTATTTTAAAGACATTCACACTGTTGATATACTGAGGGCTAACGGGCTACAAATTGTCAACTTATTTTCAAATATGTGTTTTTTTTAACATTATATACACATGTAAATATAGAGAACGAGGATAAAACAAGCAGATTCAGAAAAACATTAACAGTTGGATTGTTATATCAGAATGTCTGTGCTATTCTTTTTGCTTAGAATACTCATTTTCTTTCCTGACTCTTCTAGGAAGTGGAGATTTTCTAGAATACTATCTTATAGATAAGAGAGTGCAACCTAGTACAGAGGTGTAAGTTTGGGGAGTAAGGACAGTTTTCCTTTATAGTAGCGGGACTAGAGGTAGAATATTAATGGTAGTAGATCGTGGTGAGAGCTTGTGGTAATTCTTTTGCATTGGTTTTCTGTGTTGTAGGAAGCAGGGTTTTTTAGTTGATATTTTAGATACATTTAATTAGAAACATTTGCATATTTATTAAATACCTATGTGCCAGCTAGACACTAGGAATACCAAGATAAGTAACATAATCTTACACTTGAAGAGTGTATACAATTTGAGACATAGTGGTAATTATAATGCATCACCAAATGCCCTATAAAATGTATCAAGAGAGATACATGTCTTTTGACTCACTTGTTCCACTTAGAGAAATTCACAAAGTCCATCCTAAAGAAATGACCCACAGTGTACAAAATATTATGCACAAAGATGTTTATAGCAGCATTTTTCTTCAAGTAAAATTTGAAGAAAACTTACATTTTTAAGTTTGGGGAGTGATTACATAAATTATAGTAGCAAATTGACAAATTGGTCATAAAAATTATTTTACATGGAAGTTCATTAGAAGACTAAATTCTTATGATCTAATATTAAGAGAAAATAGTAGACTAGTAAGTCTTTAAAAACAAAACAAAATACAGAATGAGCCCAGCCAAGTAAAAGCAAATCATTAAAAAAATGCCTTTTAAAAATTTTGTTTTGTTAGGTGTATACTCAGAAGTGCACAAATTTCAAGTGTACTGCAGATTGATGGATCTTCAAACTAGTCTCATCTGTATAACTAGCACCCTTCTCAAAGTTCTTTTCAGAATCTTATTTATAATTTTTATAATATCATCTTGCAAAGAGAAGAATTTATCTTTTAAATTTTTTTACAGGCAAGTATCAATTGAGGAAGGAGAAAGGAAAGCCAAAGAGCTGAATGTTATGTTTATTGAAACAAGTGCAAAAGCAGGATACAACGTAAAGCAGGTAAGTGTTTGGAGTATGAGTTGAGGTTATCAATTTGAAAAAAAGATTCTATGAAATAATTGTGTGAGTATTCTCTAGTATAAGATTTTTTTCTAGTTGGTAACAGCAGGCCTCATGAACTAGCAACATATACTGTACAGTGAAAAAATATAAATGTGGCATAGTTCTTGGAAAAGGAGGAAAGCCTTGCCAAACTTCATAGATTGTGCACAGGACAACTATTTCATTATGATTGCAAGGTTGTAAACTTACCCTGACTGCATCAGGACTGCATTGTTTCGAGGTAGTTGGGTTTTATTTTTGTTTTTTTAGAGTTTAATGACAAAAGAAAGCAAGTATTTGCTGTCAGGAATGGTATTTTGCTTGTAGTTGTGGAGGTACATTCTGGTTACCGTATCCTTAATAACCTGCTGTTGCTTTAACCATGTTTATAACAGGCGTGTTTTGGGAGAGCTGGAAAATATGGGGACACCTCACATTATCAAACTATTTTCTAAAAGATGGAGTACCCAAAAACTCAACTGCTTAATTCTTTAGTGCTACCTATCATAAAGTAGTGGTCCCAGATTTATAGGATTTTCAAAGTGATAAATTAGTTGTTCATTTAGATGATCAATAGAAAGCTAAAATAAATCCTTTAAGCTGAATAAGTTGAGCTTTATGAAAAATTCTGTATATTGTTTCTTTATGTCCCATCTCACCTTGCCTTGAAATACATGTAAGTAATTTTGAACTGTCACTAATTCCCTCCTTGTAGTATACTCTTTTTTTCTTTCTTTCTTTCTTTCTTTCTTTCTTTCTTTCTTTCTTTTCTTTCTTTCTTTCTTTCTATTTATTTGAGAGGGAGAGAGAGAGAGAGAGAGAGAGAGAGAGAGAAGGCTTCCCACTGAGCAGGGAGCCCAATGTGGGGCTCCATCTCAGGCCCTGGGATCATGACCTGAGCTGAAGGCAGATAAGATTGACTGACTGAGTCACCCAGACACCCTAGTATACTGTTCCATGGCTCTAAACCTTTGTTCATGGTTTTGTTCTCTTTGCTTAGAATACTCCGTTTCTTCTTTCCTGACTGATAACTACTCATCCTTTCAAGTTTCAGTTTAGATGTCAGCTCTTCAAAACCATTTTTTCTGACATTCTCTACCATACCATACCTGCTGACTATTTTATTTAGCAATAAATGATACTTTTCCGTGTTTTTTCCGGCCTCCCTAACCCCCATGAAACCAGTCTCCTAGAACTTACCACATTATGTTGGAAATATTTCTCCCATCAAAGTTATTGTTCACAGGACCTATCAATGTCTCTGGAATTTAGAAAATGATAAGTAAATGAACTCATAGGAGCCATAGACAATTAAAAATTTTGAGTAATAAAAGGTAGCACAATTATTATCACTTATTACTGTTCTAAGAGCAGTGGGTAGCTTCATCTAGCTTTCATCTATTATAGACATTTTGATAAGGATATGAATGCCCAAGTTGCTTATATGTCAAAGTATGGTATTCCCGAAAACATCTTTTGGTCTGGATTAGTGTCTAAAGGGATTGCTGTGGCCCCCTAGGCCTGACCCCGAATAATCTTATAGATTTGGAAGTCTAAAATCATCAGCATACAGTGGTCACTAGTGATAGTTGTATCTTCATAATATGTAATTGCTTCCAAGTTAATTCTCAGGATGCCAAGAAAATTATATATGTCGTTCATTTGTTATTTTATAAACATAATTTTTAAATAGGTTTATTGAAGCATAATTTCCATACCACAAAATTCACATGTTTTAAATATACATTTCAGGAATTTTTTAGTGAATTTAAAGCATTGTGGAACCATTACCACAATCTAATTTTAGAACTTTTTCGGCACTAGGCACATGATTTTTTCTAGAAGCCTGACCCATACATACGGATATAGCTAGCCAGTGATAATGAAGAGAGAATTCTTTTACGACACAATCTTACCCTGAATTCAAAACCTACTTGCTACTTTATTATTTCTCTTTATATAGATATGTCTGAACATCTGAATTAGCTGAAGTTCCTGAATCTTTTGAGACCTGATTTTATTATCTTTTAAATATAAATATGATCAAAATTACTGTTTTCAAATTTTGGAAGAGAGCTGCCTTTAAATTTTTTTTTTAGCTTCTTTCTTACCTCACAAAAACCATTACTTTGCATTCTATAGGGAGTACCATAGTATGTTAGAATTTTATTTCAATATTTAAAGACCTTTGCTTTGTTACATAATTTAGTTAAGACAAAAATCCTGGAACCACTTCCCCCCTTCTCCCTACTGATTGAAAGAATGAAACCAAAAAAAGAATTTAAATCTTATGTTAATAAGTACATTTAAATAATAGGCTAAAATTTTCCCCTTTGTCAGTGATTAATTATATGGCCTATATTTCTATCATGTGGGAAGATTACTAATTTTAAATATTAGCTAAGAAATACATCACATTACTTTTTATGGGTTGTCTATTCCTTAAATGCATTTATATAAAGGAGCTTAAAAACTAATCAAATAGGGTATCATTTTTTAAAAGATTTATTTATTTATTTATTAGAGACAGAGAGAGAGGCAGAGGGAGAAGGCGGCTCTATGCAGGGAGCCTGACATGGGACTCGATCCTGGGTCTCCAGGATCAGGCCCTGGGCTGAAGGCAGCGCTAAACCTCTGAGCCACCTGGCTGCGCCAAATAGGGTATCATTTTAAAAATTATTTAAATGCCTATAAATTGAAGAAATCGTTTTTTTCTTTTAGTTGCACTACGTATCAACCCAGCGTTAAAAACAAAGACACACACACACACACACAAAAATTCCTTTTGATATCACTTGATAAATTAACTATATGGAAAAATTCAAATTTTCCTAAATGAAATCTAAATCAAATCTACCAAATAACCATTGTCCAATTCCTGACTCTGGACAATGCACCTTGTGTGGTTTGAGTTCAGTACTTATTTTGCAAATAGAATGTTTATCATGCCATTGGAAACTTTGGCAGTAGTGGGGGAAATTGGTGAGAGAAGTTTTCCCTAAGACAAATATTTTTAAAGCCCACACAGCCTACTGTAGAAATTAGGAATATTTTCCTCCATCCTACTATCTTTGGTAGAGAGTGGGGTAGTTGATAACTAAACAAAGGTAAGAAAGGACAGAGATGTTTAGAATGGTAGATTGTCTCCAGGAATACCTCCTAGGATTAGAGAATTGCTTAATGATTTTAAACTTTATTTTTTTAATTGATTAATTAATTAAATAAATTTATTTTATTTTTATAGATAAATACAAAATTTATTTAAATTTATTTATTTCTTTATACCTCTCTGCTCTCTCCCCCGAATAAATACATAACATTTTTATTTATTTTGAAGATTTTATTTATTTGGGAGGGCAAGTGAGGTGGGGAGGGGTAAAGGGAGTAGGAGAAGCCTACTCCCTGCTAAGTAGTGAGCCCAACGAAGAAGGTCTTAATTCCAGGACCCCAAAATCATGACCTGAGCTGAAGGCAGACTTAACCAACTGAGCTACCCAGGATACCGTAAATAAAATCTTTAAAAAAAAAAAAAAAGTCTTCATGAAGTAGGAGAACAAACCTAGTGAAATTCAAATTTTTTGACTCATTTTTATTCAAGCCTTAAAAGCAGTCATTTAGGGGCACCTGAGTGGCTCAGTCAGTTAAGCAGCCAGCTCTTGATTTTGGCTCAGGTCATGAACTCAAGGTCCTTGGATTGAGCCCCATGTGGGACACCCTGCTCAGTGGGGAGACTGCTGAGGATTCTCTCTACCCCTCCCTACCACTTGTGCTTTCTTTTTCTTAAATAAATAAATAAATAAATAAATAAAATTTTTTTTTTTAAGATTTTATTTATTTATTCATGATAGTCTCACACACACACACAGAGAGAGGCAGAGACACAGGCAGAGGGAGAAGCAGGCCTCATGCAAGGAGCCCGACGTGGGACTCGATCCCGGGTCTCCAGGATCGCGCCCTGGGCCAAAGGCAGGCGCTAAACCGCTGTGCCACCCAGGGATCCCTAAATCTTTTTTTTTTTTAAAGGTCATTTATACATATTGATTCTGCTATATTAGGCCCTGTTGTGTATTCCCTTGCCTGCTACCATAGCTTATTAACAGATACCTGCCTTCATTCTTTTTTTTTTTTTTTTATAAATTTTTATTTATTTATGATAGTCACACACACACAGAGAGAGAGAGAGGCAGAGACACAGGCAGAGGGAGCAGCAGGCTCCATGCACCGGGAGCCCGACGTGGGATTCGATCCCGGGTCTCCAGGATCACGCCCTGGGCCAAAGGCAGGCGCCAAACCGCTGCGCCACCCAGGGATCCCCCTGCCTTCATTCTTGCCCCACTTTAGATAACCCTCTATCCTGCTATCAGAGTGATTTTTTTTAATGCACATTTAATCAGGTTACTTATGAATTTTATCCTGAATTTTAAGCAAAGTCCTTAGTACGCTCTGCACTGCTGCTCGAAATCTTCATCTCTGGCCACTGTATACCTATACTGTACTGTTTATAGTCCTCCAGGCTTACTCTGTTCCCATATTTCCATTATATGTTATTGTCCTTCCTAAAATACTGTTTCTTCTCTTGTTATTTCTAATCAAAAACTTGGTTCAGACATAATCAAATGTAGATCAAGTGCCTTTCCTAATTATTGAAGTAGCTCCCCTTCTTACTTTTTTTTAAGATTTATTTATTTAAAAAAATATTTATTCATTTATTCATGAGATTTATTTATTCATGAGAGACACATGAGAGACGGAGAGAGAGGGAGAGAGGCAGAGACAGTAGATGGAGAAGCAGGCTCCTTGCAGGGAGTCTGATGGTGGGACTCGATCCCAGATTTTGGGATCACACCCTGAGCCAAAGGCAGACACTCAACCGCTGAGCCACCCAGGCATCCCCCCTTCTTACTATTCATAGAGTTTTTTGTCAATTCTGCCTCCTGTCATACTGAACTCAATAAATG